TCTACATTGTATTAAAAAATTAAGAAATAACAAAGCGAGTGGCATTGATACAAAAATGTACAATTTTATATGAGTACATTAAAAATAATAGCCAAATGTGTTTGCCTTTATATACAAATTTGCTTAATATAATCTTAAACACCGGTGAAGTTCCGGAAACCTGGACAGTAGGTATAATAGAACCTATTTATAAAAACAAGGGAGACGCGAGAGATCCAGACAATCACAGAGCTATTACTGTTGTTTCGTGTCTTGGGGAAACCATTTACGACAATAATTAACGAAGACTAAATAAATTAGCTGATGAAACCAACCTTATATCTCACGCGCAAGTCAGGTTTAGAAAAGGTTATTCAACAACCGAAAATATCTTTGTATTACATTCTCTAATTTCTAAAAGGCAAAAAGTTATGCAGAAAGCTTTTGTAAGAAGACTCCAGGAAAGAAACAAAACTTTCAAATACATAGATCCTGTAAATGTGTTATTAATTTGATACATAAAATTCATAATAGAATGTACATGCTCCAAAGACAAATATTTCTATCTTTATTTCTTATTCTATATCATGTTTCAAAGATGTGATTTGAATAAAATCGATGTAAGTATTAAAATGTGTTTTATTCAATTTTTTCTCTCTTGTTATAAAAAACCTAAAATACATAGTAATTTAGCTTGGTAAACATTAATTACTTTCCAAGAATATATTTCTCTGCGAATTTTCTCTCTGGAATTCTAGTTCAGACTTATAATCAGAATCTGATATTACACTTGCAGTTTATTCTCAAATTCACGATATGTTTTCTTGCGTTATGAATGAAAGTCCATCGAACTACATTGAATAAGATTCCCAAATCTGCATGTGATGTCTCCCCTGGACTCGGCTTGAATATTACATGTACATCTCGCCTTTATTTCACATGTGTTTATAACAGTTCATCATGTGTAACCAGATAATGTTGTGCTCATTTAAAAACTTTGTAAGCAGAGGGACTTTGACCCCATCTCACCCACCCACACACAAGTACATATGTGAGCAGTCAAATCACCTCAATTGAATAAAACGATGTAGCGTCCATAATGTATCGAGTACGGACATGACATCTAGTCAAGTGAGTGAGAAATGAGTGAATTGAAATATAGGTATAACTCTACAAAAAGTGTAAGATATATGACCGAAACAATTTGCGACACTACTTTTTTTTGTTCCGAAAACTTATATCGTGGAAACGACATATTCCGCTCGTAATCTGTGCCGGGTTTTGAACTCGATTGTCTATGTTACGATACATCTATGATCTACAGCAATAATTAGACGTTGACTCGGTAATGGTAGCAAATATGAAATTTATATACCGACCTCCATATACAGAAACTGCACAACAAACAGTGAAATCAAGCACAACACGTGTGGAATGGTGCGCTAGCATTCAGCATTGTATACGGGAATATCATTTCGTTTATAATACGGATAGGAACTTCGAAAAAAATATTTTTTTATTTATTTTCCGAGCATTCAAGCTACTTGATTTTAACATATATTAAATATAAGTGTGGGGACACGATTAAGAATCCATGTTTTTGACGATATGAATAACAATATGATATAATTTTGCCTTTCACCCATTAAAATAGGAATTGGCAAAATGGGGAACGGAGTTCAAATTTTAAGTGAGCAAAATTGCTAAATTTTCACCGGGAACCCGAAACTTTTTTTATGCTTGCCGAAACGCATATATACTTTGCTGTCTTCTGTCAAAAGTTTATAAAATTGACGTTTATGCATTTGTTCGATGTGAATTTATTAAAAATTGCATTTTGAAGAGGCCACTAAAAATGCATAGCAAATATTATTGTTTTTGTCTTATTTTTGTTTTTGAAAGTACATCACATATTGTTTTAGAAACATTCAACTTGGTGGTAACTTTAGTTTTATAAATATTGTAGAAAACACATTTTTACTCAATTTTCATAATTTTGGGGGATATTTTCAGAAAAGTGTCTACCTTTCAGCTCAAATATCTCAAAAAGTACGTCGAGAACCCTCTTTTGTCTTTTCATATATATATGGAATATACGGGGGGGAAATGCAAGAAAAGCATAATTAGAACAAAAACTATGTTTTTTTCCAAAAGGATGGACCCTCCTCAAATAAGGGTTGTACATTTGCGGAACCACTTCTAAATAAAAGTGTTGACGGCCTGATGCATTGATTACGGATAATCAGTCGAAAACTTTGGAAACCGCCTTCGTGAACGGCACATTCGTCACCGACGCTGAGCTATATTTTGCCCGTCCTGCAACGACGTCAGCGTTGTTTCAGGACGATTTGTTATTGAGCGTTGTCCCCTTGTTGGCGGTAGTGTGATGGTCTGGAGCGGCATAAAAGCAAATGTCAGACCGCCTCTTGTGGTAAATGTTGTGAATGAACTTGTTGTCGTATCATGCTATTAAAGTTTGGTGTTGTGGTCATTTTTGGTGTCTGTTTTTGTCTGCCTAGTTATGCTTCAGTAATCCAAAATTCACAATCCGGAAAAAAACAATTCAATGCATTTTTCAGTTACATAATTAAACTGGATAAGACATACTGTGTATAGACTAACCGTTTGTGCAATCAAACAGTCTCATACTGGACAGGAGATAATAAGGGCACTCATATAGTGGATAGCAAGGCATCCACACTAGAACTACTGTGGCTTGTAACTTATTCCGTACATTGCAAAACAAGGCAGCATTATTCCATACAATTGGTACATTTGTATTACAATGAATAGGGAACCAGCACTGAACCAGATTGTAACCAATTCCATACAAACAGTAGATAACACGGTGGTTAACAAGTCATCCATACTACGGATAGTAACTTATTCCTTACAGTGACTAATACAAAGGATAACAAGGTATCCATACTGCGGATTGTAACTTATTCCTTACAGCGGCTAATACAAAGGATAACAAGGTATCCACACTGCGGATTGTGACTTATTCCTTACAGTGGCCAATACAAAGGATAACAAGGTATCCATACTGCTGATTGTGACTTATTCCTTACAGTGGCTAATTCAAAGGATAACAAGGTATCCATTCTGCGGATTGTGACTTATTCCTTACAGTGGCCAATACAAAGGATAACAAGGTATCCATACTGCTGATTGTGACTTATTCCTTACAGTGGCTAATTCAAAGGATAACAAGGTATCCATTCTGCGGATTGTGACTTATTCCTTACAGTGGCCAATACAAAGGATAACAAGGTATCCATACTGCGCATTGTGACTTATTCCTTACAGTGGCTAATTCAAAGGATAACAAGGTATCCATTCTGCGGATTGTGACTTATTCCTTACAGTGGCCAATACAAAGGATAACAAGGTATCCATACTGGGGATTGTGACTTATTCCTTACAGTGGCTAATTCAAAGGATAACAAGGTATCCATACTGCGGACTGTAACTTATTCCTTACAGTGGCTAATACAAGGGATAACAAGGTATCCATACTGCGGATTGGGACTTGTTCCTTACAGTGGGTAATACAAAGGATAACAAGGCATCCATACTGCGGATTGTAACTTATTCCTTTCAGTGGCTAATACAAAGGATAACAAGGTAACCATACTGCGGATTGTAACTTATTCCTTACAATGGCTAATACAAAGGATAACAAGGTATCCATACTGCGCATTGTGACTTATTCCTTACAGTGGCTAATTCAAAGGATAACAAGGTATCCATTCTGCGGATTGTGACTTATTCCTTACAGTGACTAATACAAAGGATAACAAGGTATCTATACTACGGATTGTAACTTATTCCTTACAGCGGGTAATACAAAGGATTACAAGGTATCCATACTGCGGACTGTAACTTATTCCTTACAGTGGGTAATACAAAGGATAACAAGGCATCCATACTGCGGATTGTAACTTATTCCTTTCAGTGGCTAATACAAAGGATAATAAGGTATCGATACTGCGGATTGTGACTTATTCCTTACAGTGGCCAATACAAAGGATAACAAGGTATCCATACTGCGCATTGTGACTTATTCCTTACAGTGGCTAATTCAAAGGATAACAAGGTATCCATTCTGCGGATTGTGACTTATTCCTTACAGTGACTAATACAAAGGATAACAAGGTATCTATACTACGGATTGTAACTTATTCCTTACAGTGGCTAATACAAGGGATAACAAGGTATCCATACTGCGGATTGGGACTTGTTCCTTACAGTGGGTAATACAAAGGATAACAAGGTATCTATACTACGGATTGTAACTTATTCCTTACAGCGGGTAATACAAAGGATTACAAGGTATCCATACTACGGATTGTAACTTATTCCTTACAGCGGGTAATACAAAGGATTACAAGGTATCCATACTACGGATTGTAACTTATTCCTTACAGCGGGTAATACAAAGGATTACAAGGTATCCATACTACGGATTGTAACTTATTCCTTACAGTGGGTGATACAACGGATTACAAGGTATCCATACTGTGGATTGTAACTTATTCATTTTAGAGGGGATAACACAGTGGATAACACAGTGGATATTAAGGTATCCACACTACGGAAGGTCAAGTATTCCATACAGTTGATAATTACAGATATTCAATAAAATGGATAATTCAGACGTGCCCACAGTAACAAATAAAGATAGACATGTACATACAACATGTGTTGAATACAAACATTATGCGAATGATAAATATTCTATACAATTATTAATAAAGATACTCACAGAATAAAAAAATAACATATTTCAACAGTAGATAATACAGTCAGTACAGTGAAAAAGTAACTATGAACAAATATTTTATCAAAATAACTTTAAATTCTAAAAATAAAAATAAACAAATCATATAAACAAGACAGTATATTGCTACTTAAACACACAGTAACTTCAATTGACATCCATAACATAGAGGTCATATTGAGTAGAAAGTTTGTAAACAAGCAGGTTTATATCCGTCAGGTGACTACCGTATAAGGGTTGTCCTCCCCTGATCCGTATTGTGTTTATTCGATATGACACAGAGTAGACTCGCTAGGATCTACAAGTAAAACTACACACCAAGCATGAAACCGTTTAAAGGTAAGAATGTTCAATTGATTTAACTTGAGCATTATATTTGGAATTGATGATGATCTTGTATTTCATATATGTATCTAGTGTAGCATTTCCTTAAAACTCATTACGTCAGAGAATGGGACCCTATCACGTAGCAATTGTCATCTGTCGGGTGAAGTTTCTGTTTTCAATTTTTACACAAAGATATTGTTATTATATTATGTAGATGATGGTTTTGATCCGGACACTGAGAGTTCGTTTCTATTTATCTTTTCTGATTTTTCCATGTTCACTATAATCATGAAACATGCGACCTACATACCACAGGTGCGCTCTTTTGAAGCATGAATGGAAAGGTTGTCTATACCTGAGCAAACAGTGCACTGTGTCTGCAGAAATACAGTATATGTGTAGGTGGGTAAGACAGACAGTATATGTGTGGGTGGGTGAGACAGACAGTATATGTGTGGGTTGGTATAAGCCAGTGTGTATAGCGGGGTACCTCACGGGGTAAACTGTACTGGTAAATCAAATTCAAAAACAATATCGAGTCGTACAAAAATATCTTCTAATAAAATGTGTGTAATCTATTACTACATGTATGTATACATTGTATGTAGGCGTTTCGTAAAGATATATGTTAGTTTCTCACAAATACATTATCTTGTATTCTAATAAGCAAACTGTGAAGATTGCCGATCCTATAGTGGGGTATTTAGATTCAGACCTTGCAGACCCTTACGATAAAATAGAACCCGGATGTGCTATATATAACTACATGTATATGCCGTCTTGAAACTTACAATGTATAAGTAAACCTAGCGTTCTATTTCTCCACCCGTAGTTAATATCGTAAACCACAACCAATGCATCATGCTGGAAGAGGAGAATAAATCATAATTGTTGTGTAATCAAATACGTTACATACTGTATGTTATACCTCTCGTAAGCTGACACAGAATGTTGTTTATTTCAGGCTCCGGACTTGCATTTGTGACCGCACTGATTCTCATCATTGACACTCAAAGTTATGGCTTATCCTTACAAAAGGAGCAGATTTTTTGTGATCCTATGGAACACAAGTATTATCTAGCACAGTTTGGGGTATGTAGTGACTGTGACAAATGCTTTCCTGGTGATGAGATCAAGCCACTCGAGGTAAGGAATGTCAGTACGGTAAAGTGTACAGGTAAAATGGCTGGTAGGAAACAATGCATCTAGTTCCTTGTAATACGGAATCGATTTATCTAATTTGTGAAGTATTTACTCATTTCATTGCCGAAACATACGATACCTATACGTGGACTGTCTCTAGATAGGTAGCTCCAGCTCTAGTCCACGGTAAATAGTACATCACCGACATTGAAATTAGTTTATTTCTATATATTTATGGACATAATTTTGATCCCGTTTCCATGAACAGGTGTATTCTTTTGCCGTTTTCGCTTGCAGGGTGCTAGTCTTGGTATCGGTCTCCATGGTGCCACAGTGTGCCTGGGATGTCAGCAATGTAGCGAAGGCACGTTCAATTCCGAACAAAACCTACAGTGGTACTGTAGTCCCTGTACAGTGTGTGCCGACCTGGGTATGATAGAGACTGACCCGTGTACCCCAATACGTGACACGATATGTAGCGATACTCCACCTGATATTCAGCCTAAGTAAGTAATAAACAGAGGAGTAAGATCGCTGAATATATTTGCTTTCTCGTGTTTATGAGTATATTATTGTCTTTAGCCTTTTACAGTTTTAAGACATGTTTATCATCTATGATCAATAGCCTGTCGACTTGCTCGAATCAATATATATAGATAGGGGAAATAGTGATATAGATAGCCAATCTGACAAATGCTTTGTAAGTTTATGTTTGCATTAGTAGAGTTTCATATACGACAAATTACACATTTCGACCAAATAACGAGGTCTGCTTCATATCAAAATGATAAGTATTACCATGTACATATAATTTCTGTATGGTCTAGTTGTATTTTACAATTTTATTAAAGAAGAAAATTATCACTTTCTGAAAATTGTAATACCCGATACAAATAATTCCAATTGTTCACGTTACTTTTTTTCTATTACTACAGTCTTTTTAAGAAACTATTTATCTTGCAGATCGAATGGCATAAAAAACAGCTCTACGGTTGTACCATATAAAGACAGAGGCAACCAAGGTAGGCCCAATCAGCAAAGATTGTAATAGGGTGATTAAGGAGAGAATATACATTTCACAGTCGACTTCAGCACGAGTGAATTGTTTACAATTTTCTAATTTAATGCCTATATGAACTGTATTAATTATCTTTATCATTGTAGTTTTCACGATACAATCCCCCATATTGAATTAGCTATAATAGGAAGGTTGGTGTTTTCAAAAGGTCTAAATCTGGATACTTGTAATTTGTAAATACAACAGTTAAAATTACAATAGTAATTATCTGTAAAACTGATAATGAAAATACAGTTTTCTGTAAAAATGATAATGACAATACATTGTTCTGCAAAACTGATAATGACAATACATTGTTCTGCAAAACTGATAATGACAATGTATAGTTCTGTAAAACTGATAATGACAATGCATTGTTCTGTAAAACTGATAATGACAATACATTGTTCTGTAAAACTGATAATGACAATGCATTGTTCTGTAAAACTGATAATGACAATAAATTGTTCTGTAAAACTGATAATGACAATGCATTGCTCTGTAAAACTGATAATGACAATATATGAAACTGATGAATAATTAATTACCATTTAAGGTACTCTAAAACTGAAGAATAATTGCAATTACTTTTAAATATAGATTGACAATTCTGATAAAATATCTAAGTAACAAATGATTAGAATATGATATTCTGTAAAATTTGATAAACTATTACATTTACAGCAATAACAATGTCATATTCTGTAAATTTGATAATTAATTATTCTTTGTTATAACTGTGTCCATATGACCTGGTGCACATAGTACATTGCTTCTCTTTCTGCTCGCAGAAGACTTTCGTTTTTATGCAGAGTTTCTGGCCATAACCGCGCTGTCACTTACCTTTGTAATCAGTCTAGGTATAGCGGTCTACTGCTTGTTGAGGAAGAAAAACAGTAAGTATTGTATTACATAAAGCGACTGGTTTTGGTGGGTTTTTTAAATTTATTTTACCAGTTGAACTGAACATTAAATGGCGCTTGCTATGATTTGTACGAATTAAAGTGTCGTTTTAGTTAAAAACTTATCTTCAGAAGTAACAGTATTGCTGTAATTGTATGTGTACAGTGTACCTGTATCATTCATATGTCGAATGAAAAGAATACTCTATTTTATGGAATGTTCCCAAATATTACCTTCCATTAATATATCTCAAATGCTACTTTAATTTTTGGACTCTTATACGCATACTAGTACTACACAAAAACAAGAACTACCGCATGGAGATCTTCATGGAAATGTAAGATTATATCAAATAGATTTGCGATGTGTATACATATCATTTTAATTCATTACATTTTAGGAAGGATACTCGTCACTGCAAAGAAATTAACCAGGTTTCAGGCTGTGCCTAAAGCTGATGTATGTGTTCGTACGGATTCTTGTTTACACGACATACAGGAAGAACACTCGGGAGGTGAAGATGCCGCTTTAATTCCCCCGTGTAAACACAGTGACACTTCTAAAAGAAAAAAGACGGGAAAGATCAGTAACAATTTACGCGAGCTTCAAGACCCGAACTTACGAAGACGTCGAAAATCCTGTCAACCTGACTACCTAAGATGTGATAGAGTGGAACCAATCGTTGTGCCCACTTGTCCCCCTGAAACTGTGGGACGAGGTTTCCGCATACAACGACTCAAATCTTTACCAGTAACACTACCAGAGTTAGACGACTGCAAATCTTCATTTTGTAAACGTAGGTTCACCTCTTTTTATTTGTAAAATTAATTTCTTATAATGGTTAATGGTATATGTCGGTTTCAATACATAAAAAAATAATCACGATACAAAACTCATATATAAGTTTATGAAATTGATTTTGTTTGTTTCTTTTTACAAGTTTTTTTATGCATTTAAAGACTTAGTTTTTTATCAGGTTTTGTTATCTTCTTTATATCAGTTTCATCGTCTATAGGAAACAAATATCGATCTAATTGTAATACTATTTCCTGTGTAATTGATCACTTTTAGGGGCACCGTCCGATGATTTTATCCGGTCGTTGTCCATATCACTCGCTGGAGACAGGGCTTACCGTGACTTTGCAAAGGAAGCCGGTCTTGAGGAGTTCAATATCAAATTATCGGAAACTGACTTTGAGGATAAACCAATTGCGGAGGTTTCTTACCAGGTCATCAAAAGGATTTTTCAGAAACGACCACACCTGAGTGTGATTGACGTCTATGATATTCTAGACAAACTAGGATTTCAAGAACGACATAAATTATTAGAAGAAAACATTGAAAAATTCAAAATATCCCGGACGTGATTAGGTATATTCAAAATGTTAAAATGTTGTTTCGTTACACACTTTAAATACTGTCTTAAAGCATCCAATATACTATTAATGAAGGACATTCATTAACATAATATATCATCAAGGTGCATACATTGAACTAATATATTTATGCGTATAATGTATTAATAAAGAATATTTTTGATATGATTCGTGTTGCTTGTGTATTGATTTATGAACCATACAATGTGTTGTTTTGTTTAACAAAAGGACCAGTTGATATTCCTTTGTTACAGTTATCCTATAACTGTATCTGTGCGGGACATGCTTAACATAAGAAAGTGTTTACATGCATGACTGGTAACATTACACCTTAAAAACTTACTGTTTACAACTCATATCTTGTTAGATTGATCAAGACAGTTCCATCGACCAGGCAGCTCAGACGGTTAGTGCCATAGTTCAGAAGTCTCAAGTCCAGGGTTCGAATCCGGGTCCAGCTTCCCGGTGTCTTTTTTCACACGCAGAACACCATCATATTTTGCTTGTGTAATCTTTATTATTTCTCATAAAAGTCCTGCAAGTTATTGTTTCTTCAAGAAAAAGATTGTTTAAAGCTTAAAGCCGTTGTCTTGCTGGAAAAAAATCCGTTTTTAATACTTAGTTACAGTTTTTGGTAATTTTATGGGAGTCTTAGCAGCTAAAGTTATTAAGTGACGTGCCCTCATGTGTGTAATGTATGTAATGTATGTATGCTCGTGTGTATGTATTCCGGGGACAGCTTTTGTCGTTACATATATACCTCCTTATGATAGCGCGAATCTTATGCCGTCTTTATAGTGCTACCTCACTGAAATACCATGCCGATGGCACACAGCACATTATAATGACAATGGGTAAACCAGTTGTTACCAGTGCAATAAATGCTGAACCTTGCGCAGAGAATAACAACATTTTCAATGACTTTGGTATGTTCCCTTTTGGAGACAGAACCCATTGTCAATCAAACTTGGGCAAACATTCAACAATAAGGCCAAAAGTGAGACATTAGCATAGAAGGTGGAAGGAAACAAATATGTTTTTAGGGAATAGGGAAAAAATCTATATATCCCAAATGTGGCAATGGGTGCATCAGATACTGTTTGGGGTCTTGGTACATGTGTTGTTATCAGTTGTTCAAAGCTAGGCACCAATTTATAAACTAATGTATATTCCCGGTCATTACGTACTATAATGTCCCTGTGTTGTTATCAGTTGTTCAAAGCCAGGCACCAACTGATGAACTAGTGTATATTCTTGGTAAATACCTCATTGCTAGCCACTATCTGATGTACTTTTGTCCACTTTCAGTTCCTATCTCACAGCAAGTTACCGTCTGCTATTTGTGCCAACTTTAATAAAAGCAGCAACTGCTTTGTGATAAGAAATTTTACATGTTTTCTGTACCAAAGACAGACTAAGCTACACAAGATCAATTGGTCTCAGATATGTATCACTTGACAATCTCCAACTGAAATAATACTCAGCAACCAATATTCCAACAAATCATAATTTTAATTTTAAAAAAACACACTCTGAACGTGGATTTAGCGAATCAATGATAGGGCAAAACAAACGGTCATATCAAACAAATAAATCATCTACATACTTCTTTATACTACCTACATTTATTATGATAAATTGATTATCACGGAATGTCGGTATGATAATACTCAGGAAGAAGTTGAAAACGACCTGCAAAGAATGCATTTTCCATTTGGATTTTTTTCTCTCGCCTTCTGACATCATTAACTGGAGATAGTATGCACACAATGGTGTTCCGTGTAAGGAAATAGTCCGTCATTAACAAAACACGATAAAAAGCTGGGGGAAATATTGTACGAATAACAACACATTTTTCAGTGCAAATGTGTGTATTGAGAAACAATGACATAACTATTTTGATTTATAATAACATTCTAACTAGTTTTATGGTTCTTGGCATTCTTTCGATCAGAACATGCCATTGTTTTGCATCTGGCACTGACTGATGATCATAAGGTATAGACATCGGTTGATTTTACATGACAGAGGAATGATGATGATAATGAACGGATAAAGAATTGCGGGGTAAACGTTTGAGGTGATTTATTGTTACAATGTATGTATTTGATTGTTATATACAATATTTGTATCTAAGTATAAAAACCATCTTTAATAAAACAAATAACCAAATTTTCAATAGATTTTGACCGATAATTCATGAGTAATTTTCGCACATTTGACTGATCTCCCTCCCCCGACCGACATCGCAAAGTGAAATCGGGTTCGTCAATATCTCGTATGCCCCTCTCGTGCATCTGTCACAGTCCTGAATCTGTTGTGCATGAAGTTCATGAGTGCATCAGTCCTTAGTTGGTCGAGAGTAGCGGGGGCATTCCGGCGACCCCTTACCCTCCTGTCAAGTTCGTCCCATAGATGTTCGATCGGGGACAAATCTTGACTATACGGTGGCAAGTCGAGAGGGTTAATGTTATGATTTGCGTGAAATGTTTTGACTAAATTCTTGCTACATGGGACGTCGACAGTCCAGACGTAAAAGAGTGAACCGAGACTCATATGTGAAACAGACCCGTCTCCATTGCCTCATTTGAAACCGCATTGGAGCATGTGCCACAAACCAAGCCATAGCACGTGCGTGACGTGCACGAGTGAGAGGTAAAATATGTAGACCAACGTAAGAACGACGAGCTCGCAGACCAACCTTACGTAATCGGTTCCTTACAGTTTTGGTGTGAATGTGGCGATTATGATTGCCTGCTGTATTAATATCGGTTTCAGTGGCAGCAACGTGGCGATTAAGCATGTGGGTAAGACGAATAGCCATGTCTTGACGTCGCATCGTTATGCGCGGACGTCCCGATCAGAAACCTTTTTGATGTCTCTCAGTAAATAGCGGAAGGCGATGTATATACCTCAAATGTATGACGCGTTGTGACAAGATGTGTTGACGACCTTGTATTCTGTACGTGTTTTTGCCTTTTAACACTTGTGGCACGGAACAGTATACAGTTGAGTAGCTTTAGAGACCGGTTTCAGTGCACAGTGACTAAGATACTTGTCTGACCGGTATTCATAATTTTAGGCCAAGCTGGTATATAATTGTTGCATATCTTGTTACCCTGCGTTTCTTTATCCTTTCAGTATATATAAATGTAAGGCAGTAATAGGTAGTTGATGAATAATTTACTTGTATCACACAGTGTTTTCAAGGATTGTCGTTCGAACAAATTTCCCATCGCTGGCATGTGAATGAATTTCGAATCAGCATGCGTTGGTTTCTTAAATTCATTAACGATGAGAAAAGTGTTCGATCGACAAACCCTGAAAACACAGTATGGTTATCATTAGTACATCTTCAGAACTCTTCACTGCTAGTCACCATCTGAAATGCGCAAACTCAGTTCTTAAATGTGCCTCATTGCCATATGATATGATGTCAATGATGAAATAACTATTATCTAAAATGTATATCCGGAAAATGTAAATGAACCTTTTGCTAAAATAACGTTAAGCTTTGACATATTAATTGTCACTTCAAATCATTATCAATGATGACCTATTGCAATTAATTATATTTATCATTGATCTATTTATTTATATATATATATATTTACTGTTTAATCTAAATGTATGTTAACTTCTTCAGTATTGTATATATTGTACATAGACAAACGAAAAGAGCAAAGGCATTATAGCCTATTTAAGCAAAACAGAATATTTTTTCTTGTGGTTTGACTAAGAATTATATTTAAAGTATGAGATTTTAATAGAGAGTGTTGTAACGTAATTCTACATATGAGTTTTTATCAATGATATTATTGCAAATATTTGACGGTACAAGATACGTGGGTTCCACGTAAGGATATGACGTTTCCTCCAAAGAACCCAACCCCTGATGATGTTCGGGCAGGTAGGCTTAGCTAACCAGCAAACCATCTGTATTCCCTACTAACCCCAGGTCTTCTGCACGGGCAGAAAATCATTTGTCAATTGAATTCTTTACGTCAATATTTCTTTCTATGACTTCGGCATACTGTGGTATCACCACGCGCTGGTAAAATAAGAAAAGGATACATTTAACTTAGATCAAAATAACCTATAATTATTACGCTCTAATTATCAAAAATAGTAAAAGAATATTGACAAATTGACAAAAAATGTGTTTTAAAATATCTTAACCGTTATACTCTCAGTTATGTAAACACTTGTGAAGGGTGATGTAACTTGATAAATTTGCACATAAACGTCAGCCCTGCCTGTATGTGTGGATATCTCACTGAAGATTGGGATCACTTCTTCCATTGTCCTTTTTATAGGAGCCATAGAAGATCTTTCGTTAACTCCATAACTCATCTAAGGGATGGTATTCAATTGAATATTCAAAGCTTTTCTGTATGGTTGTCAAAGAGTTTTTGTTTATTTGTATAGTTCTATTTTGGAGCCGTTATGTTTTTGATACTTAACGTTTTTATTATATTTTTCTTAGTTTCTGATAATCATATTTATTGTAGCGGATACTGGTCATCTTGGCCTGGGGTTCAAGTTCGGAATAGTGTGAGGTATAGACATTTTGTCTGGGCTGGTCTCCAGTTCATGTTTGACCGACCGGCAGCTTTTTGAAGCAACCGTTTCATACTACTTATATCAATGGTAGTTATATAATATCTTATATATTTGCATAGTAATACTGTTATATTTTTATATAAGACTGTACATTTTAACTTCGTGATATGTTAACAAAAATAATATTTTAAGGAGAGGACTTTTCTACGTTTTCGCCTGTATTCCAATTTCTTTTGTATGTAAGACCTATAAAATAACATGAAAAAAAAGGACTTTGTGTGTAAGACAGATACCATTACATTTTGGCTGTACTTGGTCGTGTCAGTAGATAGAGTGATACCGGGTTCCTATAGTGACATTTAAATCAGGGCTACAGGATAACACGTAGAGTATCCTGTTACATGTAACCCATTCTTGGGGGATTTGAATTAATGTTACTAGACCTTCCCTAGGTCGTATTTCTTCTGACTTATTCAGCAATCTTTCATTCACTATATATGTGTACCAGACAGTCCCGTGGCCATCGTTCTCACTTTATTATAAAAGGTAGCGATGCTAAATCAATAGGTCGTCTTTAGGCTGTGTTGTTGACACAGGAAGTTTTCGAAGATTTGTTAATTGTTATGTATCGATCTATTCTGATCTTTATGTAAACAGGCCATACTTTATGTAGACAGGCGTTATCTTTATCAGGACAGGCGATATAGTTATGTAGACAGGCGATATTTTTATGTAGACAGGCGATATTTTTATTTAGACAACCGATATCTTTATGTTGACAGGCGATATTTTTATTTAGACAAGCGATATATTTATGCAGACAGGCGTTATCTTTATGTAGATAGGCGATATCTGTATGCAGACAGGCGATATCTTATCTTTATGAAGACAGACGGGATCTTTATGTGGACAGGAAATATCTTAATGTAAACAAGCGATATAGTTATGTAAACAGGCGATATCTTTATGCAGACAGGCGTTATCTTTATGCAGATAGGCGATATCTGTATGCAGACAGGCGATATTTTATCTTTATGAAGACAGACGGGATCTTTATGTAGACAGGCAATATCTTTATGCAAACAGGCGATATAGTTATGTAAACAGGCGATATATTTATGTAAACAGGCGATATCTTTTTTGTAAAAAGGCGTTATCTTTATGTAAACAGGCGATATCTTTATGTAGACAGGCGATATCTTGATGTGGACAAGCGATATCTTTATGTAAACAGGCGATATCTGTATGCAGACAGGCGATATTTTAATGTAAACAGGCGATATCTTTATGTAGACAGGCGATATCTTGATGTGGACAAGCGATATCTTTATGTAAACAGACGATATCTGTATGCAGACAGGCGATAATTTAATGTAAACAGGCGATATCTTTATGTAGACAGGCGATATCTTGATGTGGACAAGCGATATCTTGATGTAGACAGGCGATATATGTATGTAAATAGGCTATATCTTTATGTAAACAGGCGACATCTTTATGTAAACAGGCGTTATCTTTATGTAAACAGGCAATATCTTTATATAAACAGACGATATATTTATTTTTAATTTCATCATATTTTATTGATTAAACAATAGGATTGAACAGCAGGCTAGGCCTATATAAGTTCTCTCCTTAGGTTGACATGACAAAGACAAAGATGAATGAAATGGTTTGTAAGAAAATATTGATGCAAATCATATATAATAGGTAGCATAGACATATATATATATATATATAGCAGATGGTATAGGGGAGATAATTCCATGTATGTTTCAATTACATATAAATATTTAATTGATATTTTTAGCTATACAATGCTCATATTAAAAAGTCAGTCATAATTAATTAGTAATAGGAAAGCAATGCCCTAATGATATATTAAACAGAGAAATTGCTACAATTGTTTTTTTGTTTTTTGTTTTGCAAGTCATTAGTGCCCCCTGTTCATACCCTGCTGCTGTTGCATGAAGTAGTTAGAAGTATAGAACCATTTAGTATCAATATATATATCATTGGTAGGAGTGATAAAAAGTAAGGGATACAACAACATCAAAATATGAAAAAATAAAATGAGGCAATTCAGCTAGAAGATTTTGATAATGTAGTATATGTGTAAGATGTATTGCCAGTGTTCTATGTGTAAATCTTTCATCCCATCGAGTTTCAGACAAAAAGTCTCTAACGGCCTTTACCGTTCACATATCATCCACTCGAGAAGAATCCAGATTAAACCACAGAACACTAAGCATTCAAACTTAGCACATTTATGTTTTACTTTATTGCACCCATCAGTAAAAACAGCTTACAAAGCTTAATCCCTTAGGTGTATAATATTAAAACATCAATGTAAATATAACAATCAGTAGAATCACATAATGGTTTAAGGACAGTAATTTTATCATTTATGACTATATATAACAAAATTTATAGATTGTTTTAATTAGTTAAACAAGTCTTCTTGTGTTGTATATATATTTTAGAACACTATCAAGTATAGATTTATTTTCAGTATTGTTTAACACAGTGCTTCCATTAAGAAGTGTTTTAGTATCAAGATTAACCGGACACACTTCAAAAATCTCATTTATTAAAGTTTGTCTCTCATTAGTATACATTGGACATTGTGAAAGATAATGTGTAGCAGTTTCATAAGCATCACCACACAGACAAGATGGAGACTCTTTCAAGTGATCTTTGAATAGATCATAGTTCAGGTTACTCGCCTCATTTCTCAGTTGACATAGGATTATGTTATCCTTTCTGCTTTCACAATTTTTAAATACATCCGAGATATCATTATTACAACATATTTTATTATACACCTTGGCCTTAAATTTATTAAGAGTAGGGGAATGTACTATATCATTTTCAAGTCCATTGAACTTGTTGCACATTACTGGGAAGAAGCTTTTAGCATAGGATTCTGTACGACATAGTGGTGGGTTAAACATTCTTACATTTCTTAGAGTATACCTATCATTTTCTGGGTTATGAGTAAGAGGATCAATTATGTCATGGAGGTATGTGGGTGATAAATTGTTAGTTATTTTATACATCTGAGTTAGCTTATGGTTCATCCTTCGATCAGACAGGGATTCCCAACCTAGTTCTTTATATAGAGTTTGGTGTGATGTACCTTTCCTTAGACCTGTGATAATCCTTGCAGCTTCTAGTTGTACAGATTCTAATAAATTTTTAAGATTGTCAGAGCAGTTGTCCCAGACAATATCTGCATATTCAAGCACTGGGCGGATAAATGTTGTATATATTTTGCATAGTGATTTCCTATCAATCTTATATTTCAGATACCTAAGTATTGTTATTCTTTTACTAGCCTTTTCATATATTAATTGAACATGGGTAGACCAAGTGCCATCTTCAGAAAAAGTTAATCCAAGATGTTTGTGATCATGGGCATTATCTACACAAGTATTAGAGAAATTAATTAGAGGATGGATAGGTTCTTTTTTTCTAGAAAAAATTAATGATTTGGTTTTAGAGGGGTTAAATTTAATGTCCCATGTACTAGCCCAGTTGTTAATTCTATCTAGGTCTTGGTTAAGATAATCTGCTGCTAGTTGTGGGTTTTCGTCTACGATGACATATAATGATGTATCGTCTGCAAACAGCTTAATGTTACTCTGGACTATATCAGTGATGTCATTAATGTATAATAGAAATAAAAAAGGACCGAGAACTGATCCCTGAGGAACACCGGCATTAACAACCCTAAAAGTAGAAAAATGACCTTCAGATAGAACTCTCTGCTTTCTATCTTCAAGATAATTCTCAAACCAGTTAAAAACATTGCCCGATATACCATATGCTTTTAGTTTATGTAGTAACCCTTTGTGCCAAACTCTATCAAAGGCCTTGCTGATGTCGCAGAATACAAACCTTAGTTCTTTCCCTTTATCCAGGTTGCTAATTATGGTGTGGTATATAGAGAGAAGTTGGTTTACTGTTGAATCACCTGGTTTAAAACCTGATTGGTCCTTGGAAAGTATATTATTAGTTGTTAAATAGTTATATAAATATTTGAATATAATTTTTTCTAGGATTTTACTAAAACATGATGTTACAGATATTGGTCGATAATTGGAATAATTATTTTTTAAACCATTCCCTTTGTATACAGCACTAACATTAGCCATCTTCCATGGCCCAGGTATGCACCCGTTAGATATAGTTTTGTTAAATAAAATTGTAAGTGGGAGTATTAAGGAAGGTTTTAACTTTTTTATGACTTTAGGTAATATGCCATCAGGTCCTGCTGGTTTATTTTCATTTAATATAGTAATTTGATCATCAACATCTTGCTCAGAGATTATTATGTTTTCTAACTTTGATAGAGTGGAAATATCTAATACTGGAGGTTCAGCAAGTGTATCTGATGTTGTGGCTATAGAAGTAAAATAGTCATTAAGGGCTTCAGCTTTATCAGTTGGATGTTGAATCAGTGTATTATTAACATTCAATGGTGGAATCGGTTCAGTTTTATTGTTAAAATTAGTTATGGATTTAGCAATTTTCCACCATTTATTAGGGGGCAAAGATTTAGTACTTAGAGACTTTTGAAGTTTATCAAGATAATAATGTTTTGCATCTCTTACCTGATTAATAACAGCATTCCTTATTTGCTTATATTTATTCCAATGCTCTATTTTGTCAGTATGTCTGGCTTTCTTATGTATCCTATTTCTTTGTCTCATCTTTAGCCTAATATTGGTATTCATCCATGGCTTGTCATCAGGTCGGATTGTAATAGTTTTACTAGGAATATATTTTGTCATCAGGTCAGTAATAGATTTAGTTAAAAACATACTAAATTCTTGGGTATCCATATCAGCAGCAATTAAGTTCCAGTCAATAACATTTAGTTCGTCATTCATAATATTATAGTCAGTATTGTTATACATCCATACAGTCTTTTTGTATGCTTTATGTTTGAAGATAGCATAACAAACTTCCATATATATAGGGGAGTGGTCACTACAGAAAGCAGGGTCAACATGAGTATTTTTCACTATGGAAGGATTATTTGTAAAGACAACATCTATAGAGGTTGCACTATCAGGTGTCACTCTAGTAGGTTTATTAATAATACTTTTTAGGTTGAATTTAGTTAAGAGTCTAGATAAGTGAGAAGTGGGTGGGGTTCTTAGCATATCAACATTTAAGTCACCAGTAATTAGTATATCCATGGAAGTTTCACTAGCTTTATCAAGGATTTGTTCAAATTTACTCCAGTATTCTATATTAGAATCAGGTCTATATATACATCCAAGCAGAAATTTATGATTTTGGATTAAGACTTCTATCCAAATCATTTCTATATGTTCATTTTCAAGATCATGTCTACGTTTAGTAAGAATATTGTTTTTATGATAGATAATAACACCACCACCATGCCCTGTTGTCCTATCTTTTCTATGAATTTCATCTGAGAATGACTCTAATTTAATATCAGAATTTGGGATTAGAGGGTTAAGGTGTGATTCAGTTATACATATTATGTCACTATCATGTAGTTGTGCTTCAATAACATCTATTTTATTTCTTATGGATCTAACATTAAGATGAACTATTTCTACATTCTGGAGTGGACCTGGATTCAGTTCAACATCCATACATTTAATCAGCAGTGTTTGCAGAAGTATTTGTAGATATGAGTTATTGTTGAATATTTTAGAATAAATGTATATAAATTGAATAGAAATACTGCATGGCCAAGTCATATGCCCTCGTAAGATGGATGTCCTATTCACAACAGATGAAAAAAGAATTTTAACCATTATCGTAAACAGTCAGTTTAGTGGGACATCCACGCTTAATAAGGGTTCGGGCAATACAACTAGCAGCAAAGCATGAGCATGGGCAGGGACTTGCAATGTATAGATCGTTGCTTAAACATATAATAGCATCAATATTAACAACAAACACAACAAACAAACTAAAATACAAATACATAAGAGGCATAATTCACACTTACAAGTTAAAATATATTTATGTAAACAGGCGCTATCTTTTTTGTATACAGGCGTTATCTTTATATAAACAGGCGATATCTTTATGTAGACAGGCGATATAATGATGTGGACAAGCGATATCTTTATGTAAACAGGCGATATATGTATGGTAACAGGCGATATCTTTATGTAAACAGGCGATATCTTTTTTGTAAACAGGCGTTATCTTTATGTAAACAGGCGTTATCTTTATGTAGACAGGCGATATCTTTATGTAGACAGGCGATATATATATGTAACCAGGCGATATCTTTATGTAAACAGGCGTTATCTTTATATAAACAGGCGATATCTTTATGCAACAAGGCGATATCTGTATGTAAACAGGCAAAATCTTTATGTGAACAGACGATATATTTATGTAACCAGGCGATATCTTTATGTAAACAGGCGCTATCTTTTTGTAAACAGGCGTTATCTTTATATAAAAAGGCGATATTTTATGCAGACAGGCGATATCTTGATGTGGACAAGCGATATCTTTATGTAAACAGGCGATATATGTATGTAAACAGGCGATATTTTTATGTAAACATGCGATATCTTTATGTAAACAGGCGATATCTTTATGTAAACAGGCGTTATCTTTATGTAAACAGGCGATATCTTTATGTAGACAGGCGATATATGTATGTAACCAGGCGATATCTTTATGTAAACAGGCGATATCTTTTTATGTAAACAGGCGATATTTTTATGTAAACATGCGATATCTTTATGTAAACAGGCGATATATGTATGTAA